TGTCTGCCATATCCCGTATTGTGGACTGTTGAGGATCGGCTATGGTCGTTCTGTGGGTGTCGACCTGGCCGTAACCAGTTTTGACAGTCTTTCCAGTCGGGCTCACAGCATCACCATGCTCTCCAGGTCTTAGGGATAGAGATGGGCCCAAACTTGAGACCTGAGTATCTTTGTTGTCCGCATCGTTGATGTCACTCGAGGACTTATTTCCAGCAACAGATAGATCGTCCAACCATTCCCGAGTTGTTCGGCGTTTCTGCCAAAGTCCGACCTCATTGTCTGGTCTTCTTGGAGACGCCTTCCATATTTCAGTGCTCATGAACGAGTCACTTGATCTTTCGTCGTCGGAATATGACTCGCTACTCACATGCGATTCCCTCGCAGGTGATTTTGGAGGCGGTGTAAGCTGTAGCGGTGGAGGGTGTAGCGGTTGAGGCTGCCGTGGGGGAGATGGTGGAAACTGTCGCGGTAGAGGTGGCGGAGGCTGTAGCGGCGCAGGCTGTAGCGGTGGAGGCTGTATGAGCGATTCTGATATGTTAGCTGTCGAATCACCGTTCATATCCCATAGTTCTGACACCATGGTCTTCGTTTGATCACCGAAATGGAACGCGCTAGCACGTTCTAGTTGAACTTTGTCGTCTTCCAGTGACATTTTGTCCAGTAAGGAAAGTCTCCATGTGTACTGATGTTTCTCATGTGGCCTCGGCGCCAGCGCTCGGAGAATACGAAGCTGAGTCGATAAAGTGCTTTTACAGAGACAAGACTCTCGAGATACAAGGAGATCTTCGAATAGCCTTCTACTGTCATCTTCTGATCGTTTCGGGATGTAACGGTAGAGGATGGTTTGCAGTTGACCATTGCGATTCCCTGTAGAGATCCACAGCTCCTCAAGCTCTTTCAACAGACCCCCCGGCGTGGGCGTTTCGTATATCAAATACTGTAAACAATATGCTTGAATCTGCATGTCTCCTAGGTCTGTAGCAAGCCTTCGTACTGTCTCTATCGTCTTGTTTGGCCCATTCGAAGGAAGCCTTTTGGGTTGCCAATCTGGAGACTCATTACCAGCCGGATTGTAAGAAATAAGTCCACGAGAAGAACGATAAGAACCAATACCAAGAGGTACAACAACTGTCCCTTCGCACTTGAATAGATGCTTCAAAAGAGCCCTTTCGCCGACCGGTGTGCCATATGAGTCTTGAAGACGGACTTTAGCAATTACCCATTCAAGATATGGACGAGATACTAGACTCGAGGGGCTTTGGTTGTAGACTTCCACAGCCACGCTTTTAGCCGCAGCAAAATACCTTGTAGCCAAACGCAAACTTTCGACGGAGTAGGAGAGGCTGTACTCCGAATGTTGCAAAGCGGTCATTGAACATATCGTAAAGATATCCAATAAGACCAACGAGGAGATAGGCTCTCCCACCACATTCCAGTCTCTTTGTATGGCATGTATTACGTCGTCTGTGTTGTTCGTATCGAAGCTGCCCAAAATGTAGGCAGGGAATTGGAAGTTGATTGGGCTTGGATCCTGCCAGTGGCACAGCTCAATTTCTTTGCTCAGAACCCCATGACAGAGATCCTTGAAGTCCCAGATTCTGTTTTCCGTCTTCAAATGCAGGTAGATCTCGTGTATCTCCCGACTTGTTATGTAGAAGAATCGCCCAGTACCAAGACCTTGGAGCAGCAGTAAGTGATAAAATATGCTGAACTGTGAAATTGTTAGTAAATGCCGCCTCATAGAACTTCATCGTCCAAACTATGTTGAAGTTTGGGCTTGAGACGTGCGTACCTCAGTAGAATCTAGTTTTGGACAACATTTTCTCAGAATCTTCCAGGTATGCTGGCAAAACGTTGTATGCCAGTGACTTTTCTCGAGAAGTGATGGTAGAGGAGAATCGTTAAGATAAGACGCCCGTTTCAGAATGAAAAACCATTCTTCCTCAAGGCCGGGCCTTTCGCTGTCCCAAGAGATCCTAGTCGGATATTTACCTGCAAGTTTACTGAGACCATGAATATCCATCATGTCAAGCAGGCAGTGTCCGTATTGGACGCGAACATATGCGTTATCGAGTAAATGATCCAGGCGATCCTTGAACAGTTTCAGTGCTTCATTGAAATGACCAAGTCTTCTGAGTTTTGAAAACTCTTCCAAAGCTGGTTCCGGGTCATCAGTGACGTCAAGCTCAAGGTGTCGCGTGATGTCCTGACAGGCTTCAGGCTTAACGGTAACATTGATTGCGTCGGTAAGAGAATCGCCATATTCCGAATGCCAGTCACTTTTCGCTTGACATGGATAATTGTGATCATTTTCGAAGCCAACCGCTCGTTGCGGATGGTATGGCAAACGGTCTCGCACGTGGACGCGGCGAATGGGGTTCGTAGGCGGCGAATATGGCCTCGAATCCAGGGGTTGATGCGACTGTGTTTGTGGTTCTTTATACTGAGACTTCCGTTCGTGTGGATCAGGGAAAGGCGTCGGAAAGCCGACATTCATGCCATGTTGGCTTTTACCGAGGCCCCAATCAAACATCACATTGTGCCTGGTTTTGCGCGGTTCTTTCGCGCTTGTAGTCCCTGGGGCCTTCTCGGGCGTTTCGGTGGTATCCAAGCGGCCGGTCTTGCCACCATTCTTGGTATAGGCATCGCGTGCGTGATAGTCTTCATATCCAGGCGGTTTCCGATCTAGTTGATGTGGTGAAGTCTTATCATAGGGCATGTTCATGTTGAATTGACGCAAGTTGTGGCACTGCCGCCTGGCGATAAGTTGACTGTTCTGAACCGAGCACTTGGGGGAGAAGGCTGCGCGCTGCGCAAGCTTATATTACCTTTCGTGGACGTGGTAGCACGGAATCAGAACGTATGGTCAACAAGATCAATAAAATTGGAATGCGTTCCCGTGAGGGCACCAATGAGACATGCAAAGAAAGCCCGAAGACAATGCAATCGGACCAGAGGCCATCATTGGAGGGGGGCTTTGTGCAGATGAACTCACTTGCTTATTTGTTGAGCAGGCTGGGAGGCCTCCTCGCTAATGCAAAGCTCGCAGCGTACGTAATATTGAGTATCCACGAAATCCGTAAGCGTCCAGAGGTCATGAAAAGTCAGAGCCTCGTCCTCTGACGAAACTTCCTTTTTGAAGCACAATCATCGAATTCATTAGACATCGGCAAAGACAATGACAGATCCTTCTACCGTCTCGAAGCCAACCTCGCGACAGTATCCATTCAAGCCGGAATTGAAACTTTACTGTTATGGGCGACAAGATTTTCACCGATTCCCTCAAGAAGCGGCCAAAGGCCCCGGTCTTTGCGTTGGATTAGGTGCTGTTGGAAAAGTCAAAATCGAATGCAAGTATCATTGGAAGAAGGCCCAATGGGGATTGATAGGCCAGAATCCTGCAGGCATTGTCTACATAGACATCGCGATAGAACAGCCATTGGACCATTCCCTCAGAAGCGCGAACATACTCATCACGATGAGTGAAGCCCCATCTTCGGTTCTATCAGGGGGGTCTAGACAGCCGACTCGTACCTCCTCTGTCACAGATCACGCTGTAGGGATCACTGAATACTTTGGGCCCCGAGAGCTCACCGGAACCCCAAGCTACAGCTTCAAAACGAAGGAGACGTCTCTCCAACCAACTCTAGGAGCAGTTGGCTTGTTTGAGATCGGAGGGGTTGGGACTCGACAGAGTGCATCTACGATGTGTGTCAGCAGGTGGAATTTCAACGGAAGTGTGAAGAGGGCTAAAGATGGGCGGGGATTCAGATCCCTCGAATGGGAGTTAAAGGAGGACGAGACGGGATGCAACCCACGGGGTAACCAACCCTTTCATACCGCTTTTGCATTCGAGAATAGCGACAGGCCAGTCCTTATGCGTGTAGAGGTGGAGGGACGCTTGAAAAGTAGGCTGCGACACAGCAAGCAGAAACTGCTTCGGTTCTGCAGTAAGTCGGCAGACAAGGACAACGCTATGGTCACCCTGATTGATTTGTCTTCGGCATCTACCACCGCACGCAGGAGGCTGGATCGTATTGCAGTCGATTTAAACTTGGCTATGCAAAGAGAAAATTACGAAGAGACACCCATCGAATTACCAGGACCAACGCAAGCGACATTTGGGGAGCTGTCTCGACCGTCGGAGGCTGAAGAGCAACGGAACGAAACTTCGACATCCATGGAATTAGCAGAGATGGAAAATAACATCAAGGATCTCGCGAGAATTCTTGATGAGCCAGACTCTCATGAAGCGACTCTTGAGGATTTCCGGTCAGGGACCAGTGGGCACTCGATTAATAGCGATACTACCTTACTCAGTGAAGATATTAACCGAAGCACACCTGAGGAAACCCTCGCCTCAAGCAAATCACCTTGGAGCGTTCGCGACGTTGTGACCCTTGTTCTTGTTCGCTGGCTTATAGCTTTCCTCAAAGTGATGGGTACGGATCAGCCTCTGGACCTATCAACCTTATCAATTTCGAGCCAGACGTCTGAGAAGAAACCCCAAGGACAATTTAAATGGTTGGAGCAGGAGGAAAAGAAGAGTTCACAATTAAGGCCTGAGCCTCGAACCAAGTTCCAGACTTCTTCCGCTACTTCGAGTCTTGCAGACCGGTCTCCTCTTAGGTGAAGCGAGGAGGCCCGGTCTTGAAAGAATGTTTAGGAAGTATCCCGAAAACGCCCGGGTACCTTTTTGATCTTTCAGTACAAGAAGAGGTTCTCTCCTTCTTTTCTTCTTCGTTTCTTTTTTCGTTTGGTTTCTGCCGTAAAAGCTATGTATGCCTCTACTACGAGACGTGACGTTATATTGCAGATATAAGAATGCAATTGCATTTCCAGGTTGTCCTCAGGTGCTGCACAGACTTCCCAATTCGAGTCTCTTTTTCGGAATATTCAATGCAACAGTGAAGCAAAACCGAACCCGGTAGGTACGTTGTAGGCAAACTATTAACTTGCACGAACTAACAACCGAAAAAAAAAAATGTCAAAAAGGTGTGCGTCAAGGACAGGATTCGAACCTGCGCGACCGAAGCCACTGCCTGAACAACTGTCAGAAGACCTGATAGCAGGGCAGCCCATTAACCACTCTGGCACCTTGACCGGTGATTGATGGAAAAGACACAAGTGGAAGAGACCCATATTGATCTGCACCGCCAGCTGGCAGTGTGACTCCACCAGTGGATCTCGCTGCACATCGACAATCTCAAAACTTTAGCGTATCCAGAACACCTGAAACTTATTGTGGCTTTGAAGGTCATTATCTCTTGAGTTGTTTCTTTTTCACTCATATCGATGGTTGCGTTGTGTTGATGATGCATTTGGTGCCTTGGGCTAATGAAGGAACTGCACCCAGATCTCTACTTCGCTCGTTGGATTGTCCACTCTCAGCGACCTCATTCGACAAATGTTCCAGAGAATGTTATTACATGAAACCACAAGCGCATAAGATTTCTAAAGTGGTTCTCAATATCCTGCAGGACCGTCTCAAGCATCACTCTCGATTCGCGCATGGCCGGTGCTGCAACTGCTCTCAGTTTTCATCCCGAAGCAACCCAGCTTGGAATCAGAAAGCCAGACAAAATCAGCTGCCATATGTCAGAGACTCGGTCAACTACATGAAGATCATCGTGGGTTACTCACCGAGGTTGATTGAGTTCCAATGAACCCCGCCATTCACGTTGCGACACCAACACTCGAGCTTGCCGTGTTTCTCGTCGTAAGTACACTTATCACAGCTCGCACCAAAGCCTCCTCTGTACTCAGTTAGTCTTTCGAGTGATCAGTAGTAATTTGCTCGCAGCTATTCACTTTTCTCGAGCTTCCAGGTTTCCAAAGTTGTTGACGATGCAGTCGTTCAGCTTCAACTTGGAGCACCAGAGGTACGGCGCTTGACTGAGGGGGCATGAGTAATGCAGGAATGGGTCCTTATTATTGTCGCCTAGACTGAAGCTGATGAATTCGCATTCTTTCAGAAAGTTGCCTGCAGCTCCAGCAGCTAGAAGAAAAATAGCGAAGGCGGAGTAGAGCATCATGATGACAGGTGAAATGATGTTGGATAAGTCGGCTGTCACAACCTTGGAACCTGTTTCTACATCGCAGCTTATGTACTCAGATGGTCGCGGCCCGCCTGGTGTCTTTGTTTCCAAGGGATTGAGAATAATTTCTTAGCAATGGCTATTTGCGTTGCCGAGCATCCACGATGGTGTCACTAGGAGATCTGAACTCGTACAACGAGGACATCATGAGAAACTCAATGCGCATTTGTGTTCATACCACAATGGCGGCACGGACTTTCGTCGGTGTCATTAAATGGAGTCGATTGGCACTGTCATTGAATGAGCTCGCCGTAATGTTGTTCAAATGCCACGGTGTTGTCTGTACACAAACAGATGCAAACCCCCCTCGCAAAGTCCGTGAACCTTTGCTCCCTTAACTGAGTCGAGTTGTCACGGGTAACTTCATGCAGGAAACAACTATCTATTGATATCAATGTAACGATGCCTTAGTGGCCTATCGATGCTCAGCTACCTAATAATTCGTGCCAATCCCAAACTCCAAGCTGACCTATTGACGTAGAAAACCCAACCCGATACTCGTAACACATTACTCAAACCCCCACAGTGTGACTGAAGACCTTGGCAGCCAACTGTGTGAGCAACCTAGCACGATCTGACTGCGGCAAATCCTGTATCTCGTCAGCAATGTTCTCAATAATCCTTCGCACAAGAGAGAGTCTAACTGGATCTACCCGGTAGATATCTCCAGATTCGCACTAACCTGGAACACCGCGTAGACGCTCTTGCCCTTCGCGTCTCGAACTGCCCCAAGTCTGTTCCCGGCAACACCTCCAGCCAACGCGCCGGGCATGTTCCCGACGATGAAACCCAGCGCAGCGCCGCTTACGCCACCGATGGTGCCCCAGAAAGAGCTCGTCGGTCGGTTGGTACCCTCCTCCGCCATGCCCTCCTCGCGCAGCATCTCCTCGAACACATCGCCGAATTGCTGGTTGTCTGCCCTCTCGCGCTGCTCCTCTGTCTTTGCCTGCTGGCCGGTGAAGAAGTTCCAAGCCCAGGAGTAGGCGTTATTGGTATTGGGACCCGCTTGCGGGGGGATCTCCTCCTCGGGATCGTCGAATGGGTCGTTGGCGGTGTAGCCGGCCGACGCGCCGAACATCTTGCGCTGATCATCGTACTCGCGCCTCCTTGTGGTGTCGGAAAGGGTGTAGTATGCGTCGTTGACAAGCTGAAACTTGCGGGTTCGTGACGCTCGCTCTGGGGAATCGGCGGGGACCCTGTCGGGGTGTGTCTTCAGGGCGGCTCTGTAAAATGTGTCAGCATCTTCAGTTGTAGCTATGGGACATAAGCGTGCACTTACTTCTTGTATGCATCTCGAACCTGCTGGGTCGTAGCTGCCTCGGTGATCTCCAGGATCGCATCTTGGGCCGCAGCGTTAGGCCTAGCGGCGAGCTATGGTGGGGTGGAGGGGTCACTTACAGTAGTTCGGGGGAGCGCCAGTGTTCGCCATCTTGAATTTCGGTCAAGTAGGAGGATACCTCAGGTCAGCTCCGATATAGAAATGGCTGAGGGTTGACAGGAGGCAGAGGAAGTCAAGTCTACAGACTGTAGGTTGCTGGGTGGTCAAGTATCTGCAGCACCGTCGCCTCCAAGGGACCTGGCGTGACTGACGTCAACGTCATGTGGCGCATGAAACTGAGGAGCAAACGTGGCTAAATCGGAGCCGGAGGAAACGCTGCGCGGGGCTAGGTAGTGGACTCGGCTCGTTCCCACTTTTATACCAATGGTCCGTGCAGTCCTCAGGATGCACGGTCAAACTGTCATCCTTCCTCCCGTTCATCGCTCGAAGCTGAATCCTTTCCGGTTCTCACTCAGATGATCAAATGCCTGCCCCAACGCCCGTCAGCATCTTGTGCCAGCAAGCTTTTAGGCGTTTGGGCGGTGAAACCTCTCCAATTGAAAGCCACTTTCTCTTACTTTCCGGTGCCCTGCAAGACATGACAGGACGACACTCGTACTGTGCTCACACTTGCAACGCTTCTGTGGATTCAGGAGTAGTCAACTATCGCTCAGAAGCAACTTGAACGACTCAGCGACACGTCCTTCATGACCGGGCGAGCAGCTCATATCGCGACTTGCTTTTTCCGCAAGCACACGGTCCCGTCGGGCAATATACCCCGCGCCGCAAATCCTCTTGTTTTCTTGGGCTACATGGCTTACCAGCATCATCTCCCAATCGCACCACTTATTGCAAGCCCAAGCCGCATCCACAGGCCGGCCGAGACTGACTAACTTCAACGGCGATTTGCGTCGAGCACCTCGTTGTCAGCCTGAGACCGCCATAATTCTCCTTCTCATGGCAACTCAGTCACGAGAGACGTTTCCCAGCCAAACCTCGCGCATACCGCCCCGCCCATAGCGCCACCATTCGCGTGATGAAGTGGTACAGACAGGCTCGATTCTCTCGTGAGACTGTCTTCACAATATCGCATGGACTCATGTTCCTTGTCAATCGCGAGGACCTGACTTGCTAGCCGAAAGCATCCCCTCAGCTCACCTTCGTAGCTCAGCACGGCCTCTTCTAGAAATCCATCTCGTCCTTGGAATGCTGCACAAAGCGGCTGAGCGACTCATTCCAAGGTTTAGGGGCCCCGCAAGGCACTCTTAGCTCTTGGGTACCATGCCCCGGTTTCCAGAAACCATGATGGACGTGCGAAGGACGAAAGACGATATTCCACCGCCAAGACAGGGCTTTGAAAAAGTAAACAATGTTGAGTTTGGATAACGGGCGAACGAGTACCCGCATGCTGCACAACTCTGATCTCCAAATGCAGCACTTTTGGCGGTGCCACCTTCCTCAATATATGAGGTAACTGAATCTTACCACCGCCCCAGCCGACTCATGCTTCCAGACGAAAAGATTGGCCAATTCCATGCACACAACTGGTCGCACAGGATGCCCAACCCGGGCGATCGACCTGCGGTGCCTCATCCCAAGAACATACCTCAACACCAAGGACCGGCGACGCCACCACTACACTGGTTTTGCAGCAGAACCGCAACGGCTGACAGGCGCGGAAGTACCTGAGATACACGTGCAAAATTGCACCAAAATCAGTCTCTCTCACACACAAATATGCTTTCCGCCATTAGTGCTGGAGCTGGACCCCTGCCACTAAGCAAGCTTAAAAGTCGCAATAATGCATACGTTCTCAAGAGCGCCTTGGCAAACATACCGCGTACTGTCACTGTCGCAAGCTTGACCTGGACCATAACATCGGTCATACCGTGTGCCTGTCCTAGGGCGCAACATGTTGAGAGGATCGACAACCTCCCGCCAGACCCGACCAATCATCCAACATGGCGGAGGATCCGGAACTGGGGTCACTGAGAATTGCCTTACTTGGCAAGCGGGCACTTTTGTTTCCCAGCTCCCCCACAATGTTTTCCGCGCCGCATGCACTCTGGGATTTCACCCGATTGATCTCGTCATCATACAGAGTTCCGATGGATTCATGTACTCGGATTGGTCAAGGTTCGTGTAAGCTGGCCGGAGAAGCAGCCTTGACTTGGGCATCGGGGGAATGGGGTGAGTTTATTTGCCGAGTGGGCACTCTGTGTTAGCCAATATTGCATTTCTGGCTTCCGTACGCTGTCCGAAAGAGCCCAATCCTTCAGACTTCGTGGATACCTATAAAGACCATGCCAGCTCCCGGTTTTCTAACACTGGACGAACAGCTTTTTGAGACCGTCAACCAGCGGACCGCCGTGTCTTTGAGTCAATCTCTGGAGCCAGAACCTTGAAGGGAGACAATCCGTGGCTTCTGATTTCACTACCACCCTAAGGATCGTCCCGGTAAGACCTCCTCCGTCTTCTCAACTTTCCTTTCTCTCGTCTACGACTACTAACAAGCAACAGGTATTCCGACAAGGTCACGTCAAGCACAATGGCTCCTACGGACCTCAACACTTCGGCCACCGGCAGCTACTGCACCACCCCAGTATGTCTCGAGATCGCCTCAAACATTCTTGAGAATCTCGCGGTCAACTACACCGAAGTCGATCCGTGCACAGACTTTGACAAAC